GGCTTTTTTGAGACAGGGTCTTGCTATGCAGTTCAGGCTAGTGTTGAGCTCACTTTGTAGCCTAGGCCGGCCTTGAATTCACAATAATCCTCTTGCCTCAGCCTCCCAAGTGCTGGGATTACAGGCGTGTGCCACCACGCCCAGCTACAGCTCTGTCATATGTGGTTTTAACATTGGTGACAATATGCCCCTGTGGTTTCCATATGGTGTAATCTTTACAATTTCCAATCCAATTATTTATATCTGATACATATTTACATGGAAAGCTTGTGTACTTTTTGCTAGGTACATAGTCTATGTTTGATATCTTCTTAATTCTATTAATTTTTTCTTGGCACTTTAATATTTCTAACACATGCATTGATGCTATATGCAAGTGAAGACTATTTTGTGTGTTCCATCTTAATCTACTCTTATTAATTTTTGTTCATGTATTTTTTTCAATATTAATTCATATAATTTTAAGATTGTTTTCCAGGATTTCATTGTAACGTATTAATTTTTTTTTAAGAGTAGAACACACTTATTGAAGGAAAGAAAGCGCCTATCCAAGAGAGGGACAGAAGGGGGGCCCGAGTGGGTTGTCCCTAGATTAATTTTTGAAATGCCTTTGATACTTTCATTGATTTCTACTCTGTTGTCTATTATAATCCTCATGAATATTGAGCAATGAAATGTTACATTGTCTGTGGAGTAATTTTCATTTTTTATGTTGCCATTTTTTTCTCTAACTCTCAGAAGTTGATATTTTTGTTTTTCTCCTATAGGTACATTCGATGTTGTTAATGTCTTTAGAAGTACTCATTACTGGGTATTTGAAATAATTATAAGATATACATTCACTTTCATATGTTATAAAATCCTTAATAAATCAATCTTTTCACTTGAAATGTGTCATTTAAAACTTGTAATTTAATATCAAATTCTTTTTTATTCTTGTTTTCTATTTTAAAGACAAGAAATAATTTAAAAACAGTAGAAACAGTACAGAATTTCATTAAACAAGATGATAGGAATTCAGCAATGGTTGTTTTATTGCATATTGTCTTCAAATTAGTTGTTAAGATTACCAGGAATAAGCATGCAAAATTAATAAAAAAATTTAAAAAAGGAAAATTTAAGCATTGACTGTTCCTTTCTATAGATTGGTGGAAATTAGCAGTACAATTATCCCAGCTGTCCTGTCTCTATACATACATATTTCTTCACCTTCTTTCTTTTTTCCTTTCTCTAGTCTCAATTGTTCTTTGCCTCTGAGCAGTTTCTTTCCCTTTCACAATATCTACTGTGCTTTTTGCATTTTATTTACTCTTACGGATTCTTACGCAAATTCTCAGGAATATTGTAAATATATTTCTGCAATTCATTTCTAATGTTTTTTAATATTGTGTAAGAATTTGCTTGGAATAATTTCAATTCTTTTGAAGACATAATGTGTTGGGAGCCACTGGAGCTGGATATTGGTCATATGTGTGAGGACAAGACAGAGCCTGAGTGCCTTATGCAGTCAAGCTACCTCAGTAATGAAAACACCATCCTGCTTGGACAATTACAGTCGTTAGTCTCTAAGCAGCATTATCCTGATACTAACTATCCTGATACTAACTTTGCAAGATTGTAAAATAGATGCATCTACTGTTGAAGTCAGTCCTCTTGCCCATCAGGTAAGAGGTAACGCCACCTGAGCCCAGCTATTGTCTCTTGTCTTCATTTTCTAAATCCTCTCCCCATTTTCTCCCGGGGACCACTGAGAGAACACCGAGTCCCACAGTAATGTTCTTTATTGTTTTCTAATAATGGTCGATGAGGATGAATATATCTTGTGGTTTTGCGAAGACTGTATATGGTGCAGTTATGGGCTAAGACGTTATGCAATATCCTGCAAATCCCTTGGTAATATGATGTTGTTTTCACTTGTGATTATGCAGAATTTTCTGCCTTCTTCAGCTGTCAAGTACTGATGGAGTTGTTCAAAGTCTGCAGACACAGTTGTAAATAAATGATTTTTGTTTTCACATTCATGTTTTTGCCTTATGCACTGTTTAGAGGAATATGCATTAGGAGCTGTTCTTAGAGAATTGCCTTTTGTATCATTGTCTGATCACTTAATTTGAGGTACACATTGAATATTATCAGTTTAATATTCTCAGCAGATTTTATTAAACTAATACTAGACTTGGATGTCTTTTTGCATGGCTTCCTATTTAACCAATCCTCATCTGTGTACATATAATAACTACTGTTGTCCAGGTAGTGATAGGATTTGCACCATACCCCAGGTGTGTGGACATTGAGCAGCTCTGATAATTGTTCTCCCTTTCTCTGACAATCTGAACTATTCTCCTGAGGACCAGCATAGGGTTTGACCACTGCTTACTGGGAATCTGTAGGACTCAGTCTTTGCAAGTGGGCTTGCTTATTCCTGGCTCATCTGTGTAACATGCCTCAAGTTCTCATGTATTTAAAGGCAGACAAACAGATAAAGTACATGAACTTTTCAATGGTTATTTACTATTTAAATATTTTCTAACAACTTTGATCCTTAAAGAAACTTTGAGATTTAATGATAATAAAGACATAAATGTCCTGCATGTATTCAGAATATCTCATCATTGCGCCATAGACAATGGATGAAAGTATCCAGGTGACAAACACACTACCTGACTCCCGTATGTCTTCTTGACGTATTGTCCGTCAGCTGCTTTCCACCTTTGGAAACTTTTCCTAAGTTTAACGTGTGTACTTCTCCATGAAGAATGTTCTTATTTTCTTCCTTGGAATTTTCAGTATTACAGAAATTGCACAAGGAGAGCCGGGGATATAGCTCAGCAGCACAAGTGCCTGCCTGGCAAGTGCAAGGTCCTGAGTTTGATTCCTGGCACAAAAAAAAAAAAAAAAAAAAAGAAATTGCACAGGGAAGTAATTTGGGAGGCTTTATTTTCCCTTTACTGTTCTTCATAAATTCTAATATGTGAAAAAAGGAAAAGTACTTTCTAATCAGTTCCGTTGGTGATGAGATTCAAGTTTTTTTTAAGTTTATTTGACAAGGATTACATCAGTGTACGTGAATAACAACAGAATGTATTCCCTGGAATGGGAAAGGAGTCATTGGTCTGTCAGTTTTGGTAAACTCCTAAGTAAAGGAGATGGGTATGGAGTATATCCGTTGGTTCTTAATGCATGCAGGAGTCTTATTGTATTCTTCCACACCTCAGTTTTCTTTGGTTATATTGTCAAATAGTGCATGGGCTTGTTTTATTTATTTTATTAAGTTTATTGGTACAATCTAGATATATACAATGCTCACATTTATCATAGGGAATTTGAACCTGTGCATCATTTACATTGGTTTGACTCTTATTCTCCCATTCCCCTCCTGTCCTTTCAACCCTATTCCCCCCCTTACAAAGCTTTGTTTCCATTTTGTCCTTCTTATTTTTTCTTTTCCTTTCCATCCTTTTCCCATCCCCCCAGTTTCCCTTTCCTTTTCTTCCCATTTCACCATATCTCTTGTACAGTTTGGTTCTTCTTTACACTTTCAGTTTTTTCACACCAGTGAGACAATGTGATACTTACACGTGTGTGTTGTGTTTATTTCACTTGAGTATGATCTGAAGAACTACCATTTGAGCAATAAAAGTCTCAAATTTAGCCTTTATGGTGGAGTAGTACTCTATTATATATATATCTTTTTATCTATTCTTTGTTTGGTGGGCATTGGGGTTGTTTCCAGAATTAAGCTATTAGAAACTGTGCCGCTATAAGTATGGTTGTGTATTAATTGCTGTGATACGATGCTTTTAGTTATTTTGAGAGAATACCAAGAAGGGGAATAGCTGGGTCAAATAAGATGTCTTGTCCTAGTTTTTTGAGAATGCTGCACACATTTCCACGGTGGTTGCATCAGTCTACACTCCCACCAAGAGTGGAGAAGTGTTCCCTTTTCACCACAGCCTCTCCAGCATTTCTTACTGATTGATTTTCTGATTTTACTCATTCTTTCTTAAGTGAGGTGGAATCTCAGCGTCGTTTTAATTTCCATCAGTCAAAGGTCACGATGGACCTGTTTTTCTATTCATTGTTTTTCTTGAGTCAGATGTATTGCAGGTATGTTTTAGATATGTTCATTGATCTTTTCTGTGTATGGAAAATCTTGGAATTATGTACACAGTAAATACCTGGCTGAAGTTTTTCTTTTATAATTAATGCTTAATTACCTTGTGATATCTTTACTTTTTGGGGCAGGAGTACCGGGGATTGAATTCACGACCTTGCGCTTGCTAGGCAGGCGCTTATGCCACTGAGCTAAATCCCCAGCCCATACCTTGTGATATCTTTACTTTCAAAGTGTCCAATGTGTTTTAATCCTGTTCTTCCCCTCATGAATCTCCCTTCGGTGCTCCTAGAATTTATATCTGAGTGCAAAGCGATCATTTCCTGTCACTGAACTATAATATGCCACTCTTCCATTATTTTCATGGTCCAGACTTGCTCTAATAATACCTTTTTTGCATTATCATTTTCATTAGTGTTCATAAAATATATTTAAAGTTCCATTACATTTTTTTCTATGAAACTGGATTCAAATTTCAAAATGCAACCTGAGACCATCCAAGAAAAAAATGAGTTAATTGTCTGAAGAATTAGATTGGAAAACAATTATCATCTGTGGTTTCTTGGAACCATTCATTAAATATTTATCTGTCCTTGTGTTTTTTTGAATGGTAATTTGCAGGCACCCACTATGAGCTCTATTTTAGAAACAGTGCACGAATAAAATTTCTGTCACCTTGCTGGGCAACTAGTTCTACTGTTCTGCTGTTGCTGTAGGAGTGAGTTGAAATCTAGCATCAGAATTGCTGTGTGTGAAAATATGTGCATATACTTTACTTGGTGCCCAAGGCATGAAGTTAGTACTTGAAGGAAGTGGCATCAATTGAGCTTTCACTCAGGATGTGAGTCTCAACCTTCTTTCAGAATATGTATATGTGATTATTTAGGAGGCAGTGACCTTGGAGGATGTAGCTGTGAACTTCACCATGGAGGAGTGGGCTGTGATGAATCCATCTCAAAAGAAGCTCTACAGAGATGTGATGCAGGAAACATTTATGAATATGACTGCTATAGGTAAGGGTACCATTTTCTCTTGTGTACAATGAGAGAACATTGGTTCTTGCTGATTAGTATATATTCATTAAATAGAATATGACAACATTTTGAGGAACATCACAAGCCTGCTAACATTATGCCATGAATCAGAAACTGTTACCTGCTAATTTCTATAAATGATGTAATGACTTTATATTTCCAAGGTTACAATTTAGGAAGAACCTGGGAATGCTCTCAAATTGAAGAAGAATACAAAAATTGCTCCAGAAATCTAAGGTAATATGCATTTATAAATAATACTAATGTTCACTGAGTTGTTATGTGAGCAGAAATATTGCAAGCAAAGAAACTCTACAAATGAGATCGTGGTTAAATTTATTTAATTGCACAAAAATCTCCAGATATGCGTACAGATTGCTTTTCTGTAATCTGACTATTGAATACAGAAGTACACCAGTCCAAGAAACGTAAGTTAGTGATTAAGCAACAAGAGACACTAACTCACACATCAGTATGAAAAAATTCTTTTGTGAGCAACATCATGAAAATGTGTGAAATTGCATTTAAACATATATGAACACAATTTTTGTAATTTGATGGGAACTCATCTTCAAGATACCTAATTATGTATATGTATATATGACTATGACACATACGTTATCTAAAAATTTCTAACATGGAAGAGGTATGTATAGTGCAACTGAATCGTAGTGATTTTCTAAAACAAAACAAAAAAAAAAACTTAAAAAAAAAAGGAAACACCCTCCAGATAAACATGCTTACTCATACTCAGAGCAGCATATGCATGTATTCACAAGTTAATTTCAGGGAATCAGGATACCTAATCTTTTGGAACAGCCTAGATATCCATCATTTTATGCATGGATAAAGGGAATGTGGGATAGGCTGAACATGGTGTTGCCTTTTTATATTCCCATCACTCTAGTAAGCTGTGACAGCAGGATGACAACATGAAGTTCACCCTTACCGAATGGATGATCAATGAGAATCTGTCACAAAGTAAAAAAATAAAATAATCTAGAAGAGTAATTTATTGCTAAGACTATTGCTTAGTTTTCAGCAATGAAAAAAATACGCTATTCCACCATAAAGAAGAAAATTGTATGTTTGACATACAGAAAAACGGGGCTACATCTCATAAAGTTAAATGGCATATCAGACACAGAAAGTCAATTTTGATGACTTTTTCTTTTATATGAGATAGCAAAATGTAAGTGAGGAACTAAAATTAAGGAGAAGTAATAGAGAACAGAAAGGCTAATTTGCTGGAGAGAGAAAAAAAGATGACCAGGGTGAGGAGACAAGGGGAAATAGATGTGGGAAAAGGTGTCAAAATGATCACATCATGATACACATATGTATCAGTGACCTAAATGAAACTAGACTTTAACGTTTTGCAAACATGTATCAATTTAAAATTCCCAAATGAATCAGATCCTTTGGAAAATGGAAAGCTTCCCCTTTTGAAGGAAACCTCCAGGGATATAGGTTTTTATTCTCAAAATTCGTTAGTCAACATCAAGCCAGGACTTGGCCTGGTAAATTATTGATATGAAGAACTTTATGTTATGATTGATAATTTTGTCTTTTTTTTTCTTTAAAGAAATGAAGAGGTAGTGAAATTCTATCAAAATAAACCTTGGAATCAACATGGAAAAACATTCCTTTGGACTTCAGAGGAGAATGTGGAAATGCAACAGACTGCTCTAAAACAAGCTGAAAGCCTTCCCTGTAGAAAGCCCCTGATTGGACATTTATCATTAAACATGTCTGTTTTTTCTCACACTGGACTGAAGCCACGTGAGTATTTGGACTTTGATGATAAGCTATGTAATTGTAATGAACATGAAGAAACCTGCAGTGATTTACAGTCATTTCAGAAGAATGCAGGAACAAAGCCTGGAGAGAAAGCCTATCAATATGAGGAATGTGGGAAAACCTACTGTGAACTCAAGGAAAGAATTTACCCTGGAATGGAGACCTTAGTATGCCAGAAAAGAGTGAAAGGCTCCAGCACTCCCAGTGGTATTAAAATCCATGAAAGAATTCACACTGGTAAGAAACCCTATATATGTAACCAGTGTGGAAAAGGATTTGCTGCTAAGTCTTCATTTCTTAGACACAAACGAACCCACACAGGTGAGAAAGCCTATATATGTAAGCAATGTGGGAAAGCATTCACTACACCGAGTTACTGTAAAATACATGAAAGAAGTCACACTGGGGAGAAGCCCTATGTATGTGAGAAATGTGGAAAAGCATTCACTAGACAGATGTGTTATAAAATACATGAAAGAATTCACACTGGGGAGAAGCCCTATGCGTGTAAACAATGTGATAAAACATTCACTACACTGAGTAATCGCAAAATTCATGAAAGAAGTCACAATGGGGTGAAACCCTATGCATGTAAGCAGTGTGGGAAATCATTCGCTACACTGAGTTATTGTAAAACACATGAAAGAATTCACACTGGCGACAACCCATATGTATGTGAGAAATGTGGAAAGGTATTCACTACACTGAACTATTGCAAAACACATGAAAGAATTCACACTGGTGAGAAACCCTATGTATGTAAACAATGTGGAAAAGGATTTGCTGATAAATCTGTATTTCACAGACATAGACAAATCCACACAGGTCGTAAAACCTATATATGTAAGCAGTGTGGGAAAGCATTCACTACACTGAGTTACTGTAAAATACATGAAAGAAATCACACTGGCGAGAAACTGTATGTATGTGAGAAATGTGGAAAAGCATTCACTACCCTGGGTTATCGTAAAATACATGAAAGAAGTCACATTGCTGAGAAACCATATATGTGTGAGACATGTGGAAAAGGATTTGTCGATAAGTCTATATTTTGTAGACATAAACGAACCCACACAGGTGAGAAAGCCTTTATATGTAAGCAATGTGGGAAAGCATTTACTACAATGAGTAATTGTAAAAAACACGAAAGAAGTCACACTGGGGAGAAACCCTATGCATGTAAACAGTGTGGGAAAGCATTCACTTCACTGAGTTATTGCAAAATACATGAAAGAAATCACTCTGGGGAGAAACCATATGTATGTGCAAAATGTGGAAAAGCATTCACTACACAGAGTTACTTTAAAATACATGAAAGACTTCACACTGGTGAAAGGCCCTATGTATGTGTGCAGTGTGGAAAAGGATTTGCTGATATGTCTGTATTTAATAGACATAAACGAACCCACACAGGTGAGAGAGCCTATGTATGTAAGCAATGTGGGAAGGCATTCACTACACCGAGTTCTTGTAAAATTCATGAAAGAAGTCACTCCGGGGAAAGACCCTATGTATGTGTGCAATGTGGAAAAGGGTTTGCTGATAAGTCTGTATTTTTTAGACATAAACGAGTCCACACAGGTGAGAAACCCTATGCCTGTAAGCAATGTGGGAAAGCTTTCACAACACTGAGTTATTGTCAAGTACATGAAAGAAATCACACTTGTAAGAAACTGTATGTGAGAAATGTGGAAAAACCTTCAGTACACTGAATTATTATAAAGTACATAAAATAAGTCTCACTCAGGAGAAGCTAAGCAGCGTGGGAAAGAATTTGCTGATAAATCTATATTTCATAGACATAAATGAATCCAAGCAGGTGAGAAAGCCTATATATATGTAAGCAATGTGGGAAAGCACTCACTACACTGAGTTACTGTAAAATACGTGAAAGAATTCACACTGGGGAGAAACTATGCATATAAACAATATGGGAAAGCATTCGGCTCACACAGTAACTTTAAAAGGCATGAAAGTATTCACACTGGGCAGAAACACTATATATGTAAGAAATGTAGGAAAAGATTCACTCTACACCATTATTAAGTGCTCATGCTAAAGGGAGGCCTTATGTGTTAAGGCAGTGAGGGTATGGATTCAGTACGCACAGATGTTAGCAAGGCATGAAAGAACTGACATTGGGGAGAAACCCTTTGTGTGCAAGGTGGGAAAGACTTTTCTACATACAAATATTGTGAAAGACTTGAATTCACACAGGTCAGTAACTATGCAAGTAAACTGTGAAAAAAGATTTGGTAGTCCTAGATCTCACTGTTCCGGAGCTCCATGTGTATAAATAATGGGAAAATTTTCAATGAACAGCTGTTACTAACTACATGAAAGATGTCACACTGGGGAGAAACCCTGTATATTTAGGCCTAATTTGACAATCCTGTGAAAATTGCTATTGTAATAGAGCCCTATATAATTTCATTGAAAATTTTGTTATCAATATCCCCTCATAAATTTTCTAGAAAGTACACACCCAGATGGAGATACCTTCGAATGTATCCCTTCTGAGTTCTTTAGTTAATCACTTGTAAACGTCTGAATGATGTGTCTGTAGTCTTTACAGTGAAAATTTTGACATAATATATTTTTGTGGAAGCTGTCTGTAAACTTAATATAATTAAACAAGGTTAATGGAAATGTATGTCTCACTTCCAAATAGGCTTACCAGTTACGTGGTTTTAATTTTGTTTTTCCCGTGGGGAGGTATATGCTACTAAAAGATAACTGGTATTCATTGTTTTTTAATTCATGGGATTTCCCAGTAGCTTTGATTTAATTTTTTGGTGTATACAATTCTTACCCTGTGTAAAGAAAGATTTTTGAATTTGATTTTCTACATGTATACATATTTAGACATGTGAATTTATATTTTTGAAAAGTTCATTTGTTTTCACAATTTATAGATTACCAAATGTTTCATTTTTTATATCCTAACAAGATATCTACATATATCAAAACAATTAGGTCAGGTGAATAAATCACCTGTTTTGCTTTTATGTTGGGGTCACTATTACCATCAGCATTTTACTTTTTATGCTTATATTGGTATGACTTGTAATTTTGTATTATTGTTACAACCACTTCTAACAAAAAATAAACCATACTGCAGTGAGTATCTGATTGTGACAGATCAGATGGACCATGGCTTGTGTTTTAAAAGGATATCATGTACTACAGTAATGTGTAAGTCTGTACCTACTAGAGAAACAGATTTAATGTGAGATTTACAAATATATAAGAATTTTTAAAATTTGCCTGCAATGCTGCCCACAGAATCAGATGTGGAAGAATGCAAAAGGTTTGTCTATTAACTGGATTTCAAAAAATCCAGTTGAAGGCTTAGAGTCCACTGTAGTGTCCCATGCAAAGCTACCAGGAGACCAAAGTGTCTGTGCAAGAAGACTGAATGGTCTTACCTGGAGATTAAAGAGATGTTGCTGCTGAGCTAGAGACGGAACAGTCTGTGCGGGAAGCCAGGAGATGCCTTCCAAGGTAATGGTGAATACTGGAGCTCCTCATAGAGACAGAACAAACTTTCTTTTTTGTTTCTTTTTTATACCATTATGGCGGCAATCCTTCCTCTGGTTGATTGATCTTCTAACCCCAGCTCTTTGCAGCAAGAATTTAGTTGGGCATGCAATACTCAAGTTGACACAATCAGTTAGCTATCACAATCCACCCACTGACAACTTCACAGCCAGACATTTCTTTAAACTATGGTTTCCAAATAAAAAGAGGAGCTTCTAAATACACTGAATGTGTTATAACTGTCCTGTATACAAATGGAAATACACTAATTCCTTCCACACAGTAAAGGGAAGTGTTCTTTGGGCTATGCTTAGTGAAATAATTCATAACGAATATTCTAACATAGGTTGAGCAAGATTTAAACAGTATTGTCTCAGTATTATACTACAATAGAAGCATATTAGGAAAGAATTATTACAATTATCCTTATTTCTGTAGCTGATCATGGGGTTGAACCTTGTGTTTAGATCTAAGTTGCACAACCCATTCTGTATTTCCTTGTCTTTGAGAAAGTACCTCAGGTGTTCTTAGTTCTTTCGTTCTTATTGTGACCCATACCTTTATCACTAAGATTTCTGGGCCATTGTACATTCTGTCAGGATTGGATTGTTACAGCTTTCGCTTAACTTTAATAAGGGCATGATAATACTAGTAGGAACCCCAAGGCATTTCCTGCATGCTAAGTTTATTTTTTCGTTCCTCCATTGTGAAGTAATAGTTTAATTCCCATGAGAACTTGGGTCAGTCACTCCTCTCAACACTGTAATCCCCTTAGCTTGTTCCCTCAGAGTCATAAGGAGATCAAAATGACCAGAGGAAGTCTTCACTTTCAACTCAGTGATACCATGGTTGTGCTTCCTGGTATAAGCTTTTCCTCCTCTAGAAGTAAGACTTCTTTCTAAGGCAGTAGAGCATAAGGTCATGAGAACAGGGTGCAGAAATTTTGCTAGTAGAGCACTGCATGTAATGGGAGTGGTATCACTTTTTCACCCTTTCATTCATGAACCGTAAGTTGCAGGACCATAAATCCTGGCTATGGGAAACATGGTACCATATAGTGAGGGCTGACTGAAAACATACACAGCCTGTTGAAGGACTTTGCACTGTCTTGCAAGCTATTGCTATCTTACTTGTGTTGCAACTATGTCTTGAAAACACCATTCCATATTTCTATCAAACCATCTGCTTCTGGATGGTGAGGAACATTTTAAGACCAGTGAATTCCATGAGCATGAGCCTATTGCCTCACTTCTGTGGACATCAGATGTGTTCCTTGATGAAGCACTACATACAGGCAAGGCAAACCCATATCCAGAATAAATGTCTATACCAGTAAAGACAGCACACTCCTTTCCGTGATGGAAGCTCTCCAATACAATCCATTTGCCAACAGATCAAGAGCTGATCGACCTAACAAATGGTGCCATATTTAGGAATCAGTGTTGGCCTTTGCTGCTGGCATATTGGTCATTCAATAGTGGTTGTAGTGAGGTCAGGCTTTGTGAGTGGGAATCCATGTTGCAGAGCATACATACGCTCCATCCCTGCCAAATAGCTTAATGGACTCTTTAAGAGTCCATTGTTCAGTGAACGGGATGATTTGAGAGAGAAGTTAACTGCTATCTGCGGAATGGGTCATCTTGTCTTGTGTATTAAAGTTGTCTATTGCTGAGGTCACTTTTGGGTGAGGGTTTATTTGGGGTACAAATATTTTTACATGCTTTGCCCCTTTAGATAGGTCTAGCCATATATATCATCTCAAAATATTGTCAAGTATTTTCCGGTTATATCCCTCCAACTTCCTGAACACCCAGCCAAATGGTTGACTACAGTACAGGTGTCAGTGTGTAGTCACGTATCTGCACATCTTCCCTTCCAGGCAAAATATACTAACAGACTCATTGCAAAAAGTTCTACCCACTGTGAATATATCTCTTCACCACTGTCCATCAGGGATGTCCTGGTACGGGATTGTAATGCTGAAGCTGCCAGTTGACAGGTAGTGCATGCATACCATCGAGAACCATCTGTAAACGGCGGCTATCCTTTCTTTTTCTAACAGCTGATCATATGATACACCCCATGATGTCATAGGTGCATGTTAGGAAAAAGAATGTAATTGTGCAAGTGTAGAAGCAATGGGCATCTGAGGAGCTTCTCCATGTAACTTACTTGTGCCCTGTTCACCTGTTTTCACTATCATATATATCCCATTTTCATTTAATGATAAGAAAGCTGCAGTGCACGTTCCACATAGGGCTCAGTAGATCAGATAACACTTGACTCGTGATCGGTACCTCATGTGCCAAGGTAACCTGGTGTCCCAAGGTCAGGTATTTAACTTCCATTAAGGCCAAAAGCTATTTTTCCAAGGGAGAGTAATTTTTAAGGAAAAAAGTTTTAAAAATTCATAACAAATTGATAGGAGAAGGAATAGTAATTGTTCACAGATAATGGCAGTGTCTTGCTTCACAATCCTGAAAGTCTCAGATTTCACCAAGGAGGGCCTTCCAGAGACTATAAACAGCATTCCTACCTGCCACTGACAAAATACCATTCAATCTGGTGGATTATATAACCCCAGTGGCAGAGCAGCCTGCACATCTGCCTGGACCTGTTGCAGAGGCTTTCCTTGTTCAGGGACCCATGCAAAATGTAGCTTTCTGAGTCACTCAGAGATGGGACAGTTGAACACTTGAATGAAGAATGTGTTCTGCAATATGAAAAAAGTCAACTAGGCATTGTGCTTATTTTCTGGTTGTAGAGGAAGCCAGACCAACAACTTTTCTTGTAAAAGACATATCTCCACATGCCCCAAAACCAATGGATTAGTAAAAATTTCACTCCAGTAGAAGGACATGAATTTTTATTGTGATGCATTTCCCATGGCTTGGTTCTCAAAATTTTTACTGAAAAACCCAGAGCGGTTGCTACTTCCTGCTCACTTGGTCCGGTCAGCATAATATCAATGTATTGGATCAGGGTGATGCCTTGTGGAAGAGAAAAGTGATCAAGATGCCTGAAGATATAGTTGTGACACAGGGCTGGGAGTTAATATAACCCTGACGTAGGACAGTAAAATTATTTCCTTATCAACTGAAAGCGAATTGTTTCTAATAAGTTTGGAGGAGGAACACATGCAAAATCAATAGCTGCATATCTATTACTAGATGTATTAATCTCAAGCAAGGACACCACATCTGCTATAATAGCTTCAATTGCAGTCACAACGATTCAATTTATGGTATGCACCATCATTCTCCTAGATCCATCCCTCTTCTGCACAAGCACAATCAAACCATTAAATGCAGATGTAGTGGATCCACCACCCCTGCTTCTTTCATGTCATTGATAGTGGCAATAATCTCTGCATTCCCTCCAGGAAAGGAATATTTTATTGTATTTACTATTTTTCCCAGCAAGGCAACACTAATGGCTTCCATTTGGAGATTCCAATTATACTCACCCTCACACTACAGATAAGGAACCACTGTGAGGGTTCTGCCAAGTACTAAGTATATCTATACCAACTGCACATTCTGGAGAGCAGAATTAATTTCAGGATAAATTAGAGGACCTACTGGACCAACACTACCTTGAAATTTTGGCTAAAATTCCACTGATCACATGAACAGCACAGGCCCTTAGACTTACTGGCAGGCCACAATGGTGTCTTTGATCCTACAGAGTCACCATTAGTTCAGGTTCAGTGTCTAGTAGTCTCTGAAATGTCTGATCTTTTTTCCTTCCCTCAGTGTACAGTTACTCTGGTAAAAAGCCTTAGATCCTTTTGTGGAAGAATGAGAGAAAGATTGACCATATAAATTTTTATTGGTGCATGAGGATCCTTTCTCAGTTATGTGTTGCCACTTGAACGGTGCCATGCTTAGATCCAATCAAACACGTTTCCCAGTTCAGTGTCTGTGGTCCCTATGGTAACTTCTGGCATACAGAGAAGAGCAATGATAGGGGCTGGGGATTTAGCTCAGCGGCAAAGTGCCTGCCTGGCAAGCGCAAGGTCGTGAGTTCAGTTCCCGGTACCGGAGAAAAACCAAAAAAAAAAAAAAAAAAAAAGAGAGAGAGAGAGAAGAGCAATGACAAGGCTCTTCAGTGATGCTGGTGCCTTCCTCATGAATCCATTTCTCAAGGTTGTAGTGAAGGGCACATTTTCTGGAAAATTCCAGTGTGGCAGATTAGCATTACCTTCGCAAATCCATTGCAGCATACCCATTTCCGTATGCCAGCAATCCACCCCCCACCCCCCGTCAATAGTAAACCATGAAATCCCAGGCATCTCTAACTCATTCAGAGTGGGTCAGATTTTGATGCACACTTTTGCCAACCAGTGAAACAAACTGTTAAGTCCATTCTTTACTCCATGTGCTGCAACATAAGTTCAAAATCGCCTCTGAACCTGCCCATATCATCAAATTGAGACTGGTCCAGGTGTCTACTTTTCTCACCACTATAACTCACACAAAATATCCATCCCCACATTGCTCATCATGCCTGTGCTTATAAGATTTAGAAAACTGGAGAAGTTATTTTAGAAAATAATGGACCTTCTCATTGGTCACATTATGTACCTCACCCATAGGAATCTCCTGGGATTTGATTCTGGTTATAGCCAGAGACAAAAGTGAGTGGTGAGCATCTGTCCCTAGTAGTGTCAGTCTGATCATGCTTGGGCAACATAGGATTAGTTTCCTCAGGTATAGTAGCAAAAGGTAACTCCATTGGGGTAGGATGCATATTCCTGTACCATTGTGGGTGGGAAAATCTCTTCCTCTGGCAAAATAATCTCACGAGAGTCTAGATGCTCAGTACCCTCAGCCTCATCAGGATCTTCTTAAACATCTCTATCCCAGTTTACAGGATACCATTCTTTTCTGATCAGTGCCCTCACCTTTACTTCAGATACCATAAGAGCCTTTGCATTAAATTTACAGTGCTTTGCATCTAGTCAAATTTTGCTGTTTGCATTGATACAATCCCCCACCTCCTGGTACTGGGAATCGAATTCATGACATTGCGCTTGCTAGGCAGGCGCTGTGCCGCTGAGCTAAATCCCCAGCCCTGCATTTATACAGTCTTAAGTGACATAAGGAGGGGAGATTCTCTTTGAGGACACACTTAGAAAGTTTTAAGATTTTCTATGTGTGTCTGAAATTGGGAATTGAATCTTTGAATTCCTTGCTTTAGTTAATTATTTTGTCGTCACTCAATTTCA